AAAGAGAAACCCCCCCTTAAAAAACAAAAAAAAAAAAAAAAAAAAAAAAAAAAAGACTGCTCAGGTAAGCTGGGCATTAGTGGCTCAAACCTTTATTCCCAGCACTTGGGAGGCAGAGGCAGCCTGGTTCACAGGTAAGGGAACATGCCACAGTAAGCTAGCTTTCTTTCCAATATCTGTTACATGACTACCAAATACTGTTAGGATCTGGGTCAGTCACTTAGTCACCTTTGAAGCAGTTATAGTAGCTAACATTTGCAGAAAAAATTTTACGTGCTCAGCACTATAAACTAGCAAGCCATTTTATAGAAGGGGAAACTGACACATAGATATCAGTCCTTGAAGTCTCCCGGGGAACCTCTGGAACTACAGCCTGTACTGGAGATGCACAGAGACATGGAGGTCTGCTGCACCGACAAGTGACTCCATTCCATTCTGAGTATCACAAACTGCCAGTGTCCTCTTCTTTGATCCTGGCAGTTCCCTGATCCTTACATGAACAGAGTACTTTCTCAAACTTGAGTGGATATCAGACATACCAGAGAAAATGGACTTAAAATAATGCATGTCCCTAGGCCAAAACAAGTCTTGAAGTATGGCCTGAAATGTTTAACAAGCTGTCCAACTAAGGAAGCAGATACTTTTGGACCATGAAGGAAATCTGGCCTGGTTGGTCTGGAAACATCTGAAGAGCAAACATCACATTGGACACTCAGAAGACTGAACCTAAAGGCCAATTTGGATGTCCAGTGATATGTCCAATGTTCTACCCCACCAGGAAACTGTACAGACATAAATGTAGCTAAAGTTTGTCCAGCCACACTCGTCCATCATCAGGGCAACAAGCATTGCTGGGGCACACCTGTAATCTCAGCACCAGGAGCCTAAGGCTGGAGAACTACCTCGAGTTTGAAAGCTACACAGTGAGTACCAGGACAGCCAGAGCTACATAACAAGGCTTCTGTCTTAAAAAAAAAAAGGGGGGGGGGCAAATCTAGGAATGTGACTAAGCTGATACAGTGACTGACTACCACGCACTAGTTAAGTCTAGTTCAAGTCTCCAGCACCTCATAAAACTGAGCATGGTGGTGCACACCTGCAATCCCAGCACTAGGAGGACCAGATGTTCAATGTCACCCTCAGCTACATAATGAGTTTGAGCCAGCCTGGGCTACATAAGATGATCCTGTCCTTATTTAAAAAGAAAAAGAAAAAAAGAAAAAAAAAAAACAAGCGGAAACGACAGAAGCAAGACTTCTCTGGGAGCCCACATCTGATGCTGGTCCCCTACTCTGCCTCCAGCTCCCATAATCTACCAGTGTATCTGCCCTGCACAAGAGAGGAGGGTACGGTAGTCCTCTCCAACCATCCCAACTATTATCCTGTTCTTCAGGGGAACCCTAGTAGCCCCCTATCTATTCTCTCCCTGGGTCAAACACCAGTGTCCCTCACCCGCAGGATAGGAGGAAAAGCCCGGGTCCAAATCCGAAAGAGTTGTCAGGATCCTGGGCCGGTCTTCATACCTCCAAAGCCTGCGACCCTTGGTGGTGAGGCAGTCCTCACCACAACGCACACTGATCCCAGAGATGCCAAGCCCGGGTGCGTACAGAGGCTGTGCAAAGTGACTGGCCCAAGGTCACCAGTTAGGAAGGGGCCGCACAAGGTGCGACAGCGGCCAGTAGGGATAGCCAGGGCCGCAGCCACGCCTCAGGCTCCACAGGTACCGGGAAGGGGAACAGGAGGACGGTCCGCCGCAGAACAAGGCGCTTGCTCGTCAGGTCCCCAAGCTTCCAGATGTCCCCAGCCCGCGCCCCGCGGTCCGCGCCCCCGTAAACTCACCCGACTTCGGGGGATAGCGGTAGGCCGAGTTGGCCTGAATGTCGATGTCCTCCACGCCCGCGATGCGGCGACTCAGGATGGAGCCCATGGTGCGCGTTTCGGCTGACCGGCCCGAGAGGAGGGGGTGACGGCTGTGGCGTCCTCAAGTTCTGGAATGAACTAGCGCTTGTAGACCAGGCTGGTCTCGAACTCACAGAGATGTG